GGGGGGTGCGACTTGCTCCTGCGCGTGCCCATGGTGACACCGAAAGATGGGTATATTTTGCCTCTACACCCCCATACACATTTCTCTGCATGCCGCCCTCAATAAAAAGGAAAATAAGTGCCCTCCCTGGCGGCCGCCCCCTCCACCACATCCTTCCAACGACAGTGCTCTGCATCTTAGACTTTACAGCAGGGCTGGCCTTTAGGGTGTGCGACCTGTGCTTTCGCACAGGGTGCCGTGGCCAAAGGGGCGCCCAGCAAATATTTAAATTCCTTAATTTTATTATAGTGAAGTGTGAACCTCGGGTTCAGGGTCGAGAAAAGGTATTCTAACTTTTCGTACACGGGGTTTGCTTAGGGCGCCATCAACGAGCTTCCAAAATAGGAAAACAGCATTGCATGTGGGCGTAAAGGAAGAAAAAAAAGAAAGAGCAAAAAAAAAAAAAAAAAGAAAGATCTTCTGATACAAGTTAACAAAAACAGTTTTATTGTTCATTGTTTGATTTTTTTTTAAAAATAGGTAATAAACTCATAACCGAATAACTAGTTTTCCGTTAATGACTATACTAAAAAGGGGAGCCAAAGTTTAAGCTTGTACAGGGTGCCAGCAACCGTTGGGCCGGCCCTGCTTACGGAGATGAAATATCTTACTCAGCTTTATATCGCGTAATATTTTGTATTAACTTTTGTATCCCAAAATTGTTTCATTTGATAAATTTCTTGTTATTTGCACACACACACACACACACATACACACACAAACTTATTAACCCATATAAACTTATTTGGGGAAAATGATGGGTATTAGTATTAGCCAGGCCTAGCACTATAATTAGGCCAAAATGTAATTAAAAGACAAGTATAAACCAAGTGGGAAGGTTCAGGCACATCTTTAATTAAATTTATGCATATATTTAATTATTTTTTTTTTGTCTCTTAATTCTTAATAAGATAAATATTTCTTTAAATATTAAGTTTTATAAATTATTTCGCACACACACGAACATTTATTTGGGGGAAGTTTTTAAAAAAATAAAAGAGCTCTGTATCCGGTTTTGTGACTATTTCCTTAGCGCTGAAAAGTACTTTCATTTTCTCTTACGCTTACTGACAACAAACGATTCAACCGATTGTAATTCATCGTCGTAAGTTAAATTAATTGAAATAATCCTTACATAACTACTTTTACCTGAACAAAAATAAATATAGCAAATAAATAAACAATTTACTTAAAACTCCACACAAGTGTAAATCCCAGTAACTTCTGTCTGGTGCCGACCTGGATCACCCACCAGCCCACCAGAGCCAGATGCTGAGAACACTCTTACTCTTATACTGTAACCGTGAGTGTGAGATGCATCAAATTTTATAGAGACATTATTTGCTGACAAGGGAACCAGCTTATTCTTCTAAAAAAATCCTAGACACTTTTGGGCTAAATCTGAGAACAGTGTCCATGGTGGCGTTTCCATGTTTACTCAATAATGACATGTGCAGGAGTCTTTCCCCTTTGTTTATTGAATTGTTTATTTTCATTGGATGAAGTTTCGGCATGCCCATGACGTCATTATAAGTCATTTGCGTGTTTATTAAATATTTGTGCTGGCAGTGAAGGAATATTTTAACAACCGGTTGGAACAAGATTCCATGTGAATAATTAACTAAGTTTATAAGAAAAGTTAAATTTTATGCTTTTATAAGTTTAATTTTATGTTTTTAAAATTCATATTAAGAGTGTGGAATTTTTATAATGTTACAAATACTAATGAAAAATAGAGAAATTAATTTTCTTATAGTGTACTTTAAAATTATGCGGATATATTAAACGTTACGTCACTCTCTTCTTCTTATTGTGCTCCGGGTGAGTGGCGGTAAGTTTGAAATTTGTTAATTTATGCAACAACAATTTGGTTATTTTTATATAAATTTGGGGTAAATTTACGCAGATGATGGACGTTAAATTTACCGCCCGTTTTTGGAATCGTCTGGAAAGTCAGGGCGAAAAGAGTGTGAAGGATTGGTTATGGTTAATGAATGATGGTCTTATTGCAGACCGGTACGAATGTCCCAATTGTAAGAAGGGCATGAAATTGTGTGCAAAATCGAGTGTTTCAGATGGGTTTGCATGGAGATGTCGCGACAAAAGCCATGGCAGTATTATTCGTAGTATAAGGAAGGATCGTGGTTTAGTGACAGTAAATTGACATTTAGTGACATTCTATTATTGACACACTTTTGGGTGAAAAAACTGCCTTTGGCAAATATTGCGACAGAAGTGGGGGTTAATCCAAGTACAGTAACCGACTGGGTGAGCTTTTGTCGCGACGTATGTGCGGAAGCGTGTGTTTGGCGAGTGAGAGCTTAGGCGGAGTGGGTAAAACCCCCTCTGGTACCCCCCCCCCCCCCACCACTAGCACTAAAGCCGGCTTACCATAAAGCTGCATATAAGAATTTACCCACTGTGGCCCACGAAAACTATGGAAATGGGGAATAAAAACAAGAAAAAATGGCAAAAAATAATTAATAAATAAAGAATTAAGCCAGAATTAATGAAAACACACCTCACAGTTTCATGAAATACACTTTTACACACTTTATTTCAAGTTCCACGGAATATTATATATCCAGTAATATCAAAAGTCGTTGCAACAACAAGACGACAAGTGACGTAACATTTAAGCACTCATTTATATATTCGGATAATTTTAAAGTAACCTATAAGACAATTAATTTCTCTATTTTTCATTACTATTTGTAACATTCTAAAAATTCCACACTCTTAATATGAATTTTAAAAACATAAAATTAAACAAAGTCCATCATCTGCGTAAATTTACCCCACTAATTTATATAAAAACCTGAAACTAAAAATCAAATAAATAACAAATTTTAAGATTTTTTTTTTCTTTCTTGCTCTTTTTCATAAAAAAAAAAGTTTGCAATTTCTTTAAATTTAACATTTTTTCTTAAACGCAATTTGAAAAAAATTCTATATATTTGCATGTTTTCGGTTTTTTAAAATAAAATTTAACCAAATTTTCTAGTAGAATTGCTTATTTTTTCATCTTTCGGTAAGTAGTTGATAAGACGCATTCTCCCCAACCGTTCCCTTTTTCACAACACGTGTCTTTGCACTACTTGTTTTTTTTACTTGGCCGCCACCTTGGTTGACATGGTCCATGACCTTCTCACGGATCATGTCAACAAAGATGGCGGCCATGATGGGAAACCCCGGGCATCGTCCTCAAAATTTACCCATTTTTGTAATTTGGTCCTGTTAAGTCTACACCATTGTCACATTGTGATGAATGGATGCGAAACAAGTATTGCATGGAATGGGATTGCTTGTCTATACTATTTACGGTAATCTACCACTTGAGCGTCGGCCAAAAAAAAATCCAGCTGTTCCGGTTGGAAGGGCTATTTAAACAACTATTCTTATATTATTTTAAATGACATTGGTTGTACGTATTCATTCCCATAATAATAGACAATTTTTTTAAAATAGAAAAACTATAACAATTTTTTTTTAAATAGAAGATAATGTGTGAAAATGGAATTATGCATAATTCTCCCCCAAGTTGACAATGAAGTTTTAAAAAATATAATTTCCACGAAAACGGTTGTGGTACATGAATCCACGTAAATATCAAGGGGAAAGATCACCGGCGCTTCTTGTGTCAAACTGTCTTTTCAGTTTACGCTTTTTGAGTATTCACGTTTTCCACATTCTGTTAGTTAGATGACATCAGCGTCGTCTGGATAAAAAATAATAATTGTAGTCTCTTTTTCTTCCTGGCATATCGGTAGCTTGCAGTAATAATTATTTAAATGTATTAGTATTGTGCTATATAACTTTATAGCCTCTATACGGAAGCAAAAATATTAACAGAATCCAATTTAAGAATAGTTGTTAAAATAGCCCTTCCAACCGGAACAACTGGATGTTTTCTTGGCCGACGCTGAAGTGGTAGATTACCCTATTTACTATAGTTAATACCTTATACTTATACTATACTTATTCAGTGACATCTAAAATATTAAAAAGAGATGCATCTATTCCCTCAAAGAGCTGATGGCTGCTGATGACTGGTCTAAAGTAATAAAATAACACTTTAATTTTCTCTTTTTCAAGGATTACACTGATGTGAGACACAACAAATCTTTTGCAAAAGATGTCGGACTCTGATGATGATGATATTCCAGAGCTGGTGCCGGCTGAAAACAAGAAAGTACCTGTCACAATTATTACAGGATTCTTAGGTTTTTATTAAATATAGTTATAGATATACATATAATATTTATTATATATTCACTTATTAGTCTTATTCACATATTTTAAAACATTTAATATGTACTATTAAAGTACTAGCCTATACTATTTGATAATCAAATTTTGACTGTTGTCACAATATTAGCACTTTTAAAACTGAGGGGATCTTCCATATTTGATGTGCATGTAGTATCACTATTAAATCTGCATTTTAAACTCAAAAATGTCCCAAAACAATTTTATGAAATTTATGTCTGGGAAGATATTTTAGCAGCTTTATCCCCGTATAATCAAATTCAAATATCATCATCTCAATGATGATCTTTTTAATGGGTAGTTAATAATTAAAAATTATTGTTCCCAAAGTGTTATGCTATAAAATTGTAAACTACTAAAAGTGTTGCTTATTACTTTATAATCATTACAGTTTCATTGACCTATCCAAGAGCAAGCATTATTTACCATTTTTGCTGGCCTCGTGGATAAAAATACCTTGTAATATGCATCCACATTTTTTTTAAGGGGCAGGAAAGACAACACTTTTGAATTACATACTTACACAGCAGCATGGCAAAAGAATAGCAGTGATTCTCAATGAGTTTGGAGAGGGTAAGTCCTAGACATTTTTATATTTTTCTAAACTTTTGCCATTACGTTTTGTATTGCAATTAGCTTTATTTAACTTAAAATGAAGTTATTTTTCATTGTGTTATGTTGTATACACAAATATAATGTACCAAACTCTAAATTACTTTACTAATGTAATACACGATATTGAGAAACTTTTTTTTTTATCAATTCTTTTTAGCATCTACATAACTATTCAATTTTTTATAAGTATTTTCATTGTCATCATTTTTCTATAAAATTGCTGATCTATCAAAGAAATTCTTGTTATATTAAGAAATTCTTAATAAAAAGAACAAGATGTCTGATACACCTCTCTGGTCAAGAGTATAAAACTTAAATGTTAATTTTTCTATTTCCAGGAGACTCCATAGAAAAATCCATGTCTGTTGGTGAAGGGGGTGAGCTCTTTGAAGAATGGCTTGAACTAAGAAATGGTTGTCTCTGCTGCTCAGTAAAGTAAGTCACTATCTACAAAACACACATTTAATTATTTATTTTTTTAGCATCAACATTTAGAAAGAAAACTATTTTATATACTGAAAAAACTTGTAATTTGTTAACTTGAGGAGAAATTTGTATAAAAATGACCAGTACGTTATTTCAGACCCAAGATTCTCTTGTTATTCTTATTTGATCCTTAGAATGACATGTTCACGATGGATGAAAATAACTATTTCAAAGCAGTGTTGTATCTTAATCATTATACAACACATATTTTGATCCTCTATTAGGTGAAAATTGATGTTTGAGAAACAAAGTAACAATTTTTAATATATAAATTTGATTATTTAATACAACTTTTGCCAAAGATATTTTGATTGTATACTCACATGGCTTGATTACATATTTATAAAAAAAAAATATTGAAACAGATTAGAACTCGCTTTATAATACACCATTTGCATTAGTTATATTCATGCATTATGATTTTGCTCTTTATCAGGGACAATGGTGTAAAAGCCATAGAAAACCTGATGCAGAAGAAGGGAAAATTTGACTACATTCTGCTGGAGACCACAGGCCTTGCTGACCCTGGTCCAATAGCCTCAATTTTCTGGTTAGACGAAGAGCTCTGCAGTGATGTATATTTAGATGGTTTGTAATTATTGATTTGTTTTTCATGAGATTTAAATTGCCCTTTTACTTTTACTATATCTTATGATCCTGTATTTTTTCTTAATAAGCTGAAATTTGGAGCTAATATATATATCGGCATCCTTCCGTCTCGTGAGACGATGGTGCATCACCGTTGGGTTGGGTTGCATTTTCTCGAGTGGCTGTGCAGTCCTATCCTTGAGTGACAGTCTTTACCACAGTTTTTACACACGAGTTCCGTGCTTCTAAATGTTTTGGCCTTTCTCCTAGCTCTTCTGTCTGCAGCCTCTTCCATTCTTCGCTCCTCGGCTACCATGACGCCCTCTTTGACAACTGTGCGCCACGTAGATCGGTCTTTTGCCTTACACTCCCAGTCACTTGTATGTATTTTGGCTGCTTTCATGTCCCTTTGACAGACATCTTTAAATCGCAGACGTGGGCGACCTGTTTTCCTCTTTCCAGAAGCAAGTTCACCATATAGGAGGTCTTTCGGAATGCGGCCGGGACTCATTCTTTTAACATGACCTAGCCATCTCAGGCGTCTTTCACTAAGGATTGTGAACATGCTTTGGGTATTCGCACGCATTAGGACCTCACTATTAGTCACTTTTTCTTGCCATTTAATACCAAGGATGCGACGCAGGCATCTCATATGGAAGCTATTAAGCTTGCGCTCTTGGGATGTATAGGTGGTCCATGTCTCGCTCCCGTATAGTAGTGTACTGATGACACAAGCTCGATAGACGCACAGTTTGGTTTTCTCCGTTAGCTTGGTGTTTTGCCAGACCCGTTTATTTAGTTTAGCCATTGTGGCAGCTGCCTTGCCGATTCTGCTGTTAATTTCTTCTTCAATGGACAGTGTATTGGAGACCTTGGACCCCAAGTAGGTGAAGCTGTCCACAACCTCCAAGTTTTCATTATCGATTTTTATGTTAGGTGGAGGTCGAGTGTCTTGGGCCATGATGTTTGTCTTTTTCAAGCTGATTTGCAGACCAAATTCTTTGCAGGCATTGGAGAAGCTTGACACGAGTTGTTGCAAACCAATTTCTGTGTGTGCTGTTAGTGCCGCATCATCCGCAAATAGTAGCTCGCGAATTAGGACATCTGTCGTTTTGGTCTTGGCTCGGAGGCGGGCAGTGTTGAAAAGTCCTCCATCAGCTCTGGTGTGTAACCAGATTCCCTCACTGCTATCCTTGAATGCGTATCGAAGTAGTACAGAGAAGAATATTGCGAACAGTGTTGGTGCGAGTACACAACCTTGTTTAACTCTGCTGCTGACTGGAAAGGCTTCTGACTTGGCTCCATCGAACTGCACTGTACCCTGCATATTTTCATGGAACTCTCTGATGATGGCAAGTAGGTGAGGGGGACAGCCGATTTTTGCCAGTATTTTGAATAGCCCGTTGCGACTGACGTAATCAAAGGCTTTTGTAAGGTCCACAAAGGCAATGTACAGTGGCATCTGCTGCTCTCTGCATTTTTCCTGAAGCTGTTGTATGGAGAACACCATGTCTATGGTAGACTGCCCAGACCGGAAACCGCACTGAGATTCTGGATAGACACGGGATGCTAGACTCTGTAAACGTGTTAGTATGACACGGGCAAAGGCCTTTCCTACAATGCTAAGGAGTGAAATGCCACGATAATTATTGCAATCACTCCTATCACCTTTGTTTTTATATAGTGTCACTATATTTGCATCCTTTAGGTCTGGGGGGATTTAGCCCTGTTCCCAGCAGAGGGACAGAATCTGGTGCAATGGTTGGAGTAAAGCTATCTTACCACTCTTTAGAGCCTCTAGTGGTATTCCATCATCCCCAGGCGCTTTTCCACAAGCTAGGCTATCAATAGCTTTGCTCAGCTCATCCTGTGAGGGCACGACATCAAGTTCTTCCATGAGTGGCATATCTGGGATGTCATCTAGAGCGGTGCTGGAGACTGTGGTAACTGTTGAATACAATTCCAGATAATGCTCAACCCACCGTTTTAGCTGTGCTGCCTGGTCTTGGATAATTTCTCCACTTTTGGACTTTAGAGGAGCAACTTTGGACGTCAAGGGGCCAGTTGCCTTTTTGATGTTTTCGTACATTGCTTTTGCATCGCCCATATCTGCAGCTGACTGTATGCTGGAACAGAGGTTAAGCCAGTAGGTATTGGCACAATTACGTGCAACCTTTTGGGCAAGTGACTTGGCTGTTTTTAAGGCATGCAACCTGTCGGGTGTAGGCTTTTCCTTGTAAGCCGTAAGAGCTTTCCTTTTGGCTTCAGTGACAGGTTTCATCTCGTCCCAATGTTCATCAAACCAGTCCGTGTTTTTGTGAGATTTTTTGCCAAAGGCCTGTATTGCGGATGTATAGATTGTGTCTCTGAGATGCGTCCATTTCGAGTCAATGGTGACGCATGGGGACATCCTTGAGATACCTTCCTTCACCTTGTCTGTGAACAGCTGCGTTAGCGCAGGGTCTTTCATGCAGAAGGTATTGATACGTGGACATCCCTTTTTCTTGGTGTGGTACGAGTTTTTCCTCATTATTCGTACCTTGCTGGCGACAAGGGAGTGATCCGTGTCACAGTCGGCACTGTGATAGCTGCGAGTGAGTAGGATGCTAGCTAGTTGTGCACGCCTGGTGATGATGAGGTCCAGCTGGTGCCATTGGCGGGATCGAGGGTGTCTCCAAGATACTTGATGTATATCCTTGCACTTGAAGTAAGTGTTGGTCACACACAAGCCTCGTGAGCAGCACAATTCCAGAAGCCTCTGTCCATTTTCATTAATCTTTCCTCTTCCAAAGAGTCCAAGGCATGTGGGCCAGGCTTCGTGGTCGCTCCCCACTCTAGCATTGAAATCTCCCAGGAGGTAGATTGCCTCGTCTTTGTGGATGCTGGCTATTGCCTGGTCTAAAGCTCCATAGAACTGGTCCTTCTCTTCCGGAGTTGAACAGAGAGTTGGGGCATATACACTAAGAATGTTTGCTGGGCCCGCAGCTGTTCTGAGTCTTAGAGTGAGGATCCTCTCCGTGCCTGATGACGGGGGATCAATGAATGGTGTAAGAGTGTTCTTAACAGCGAAACCTACACCATGCTGTCTAGGTTCGTTTGTTGGTCTGCCTTGCCAGAAGAAAGTGTAATTTGCCTCTTTGAGTGTACCGTTGTCTGGGAGCCTGGTCTCCTGAAGGCAAGCGATGTCAATCTTTAGCCTTTTAAGTTCTCTATCGATTATTCCTGTCTTCCGTGTGTCGTTTATTGACTGCGGGTCATCAGTGATGCCGGGACACATAGTCCTCACGTTCCAGCTAGCGATTCGAAGAGCTGGGGTCTTCTTTTTCTTTTTTGTGTTTCTTGGTGCAGGGCTTAGTGGCCCACTTGTTGAGTGGTACTCTAATCTCCACGCACCCAGTGGAGAAGGCAGGCCATGACGGGATATCACCTATTTGACTGGGGGCTGCCCAGTTTGAGGCGGGCGTTAGCTGTCCAGTGAGACATTGGTCTCTCCCAACGTCGGAAGCAGCCCCTGGCGCCTAGCTCTACGTCAATTGAGCTTTTGGCTTATAACCGGTAACTGCTGCTTCCCGTGTTTTGTCAACACCTTGCGGTGACGCTGGAGTGTCCTCTCCAGAGGTGATGCAAGCCTGGGCGGGTATTATGGAGAATTAGCTGCTGCCCATACAGCATATCCACCCTCTCCACGTCAATGGTGTAACCAAGGGAATGACTTGTGTCGATGCGGCTTGGCTGCCGTTGGCGTCGCAGGAGCTGCCGGTATGTACATAAGAGTCTTATGTATAGACCGCCTGTAGGTGCTCCATTTCCTGATTTTCTGTCGGGGTTTACTCCCTTAGCCTTTCCCGAAGGGCGGGTATAGCCGCAAGGCAGCGGAGGATTTTGAAGTCGGAGTTTCCTTCTCCTAGATGAACTTACCAGCCAAGGTTTTAACGAGCATCATCTACCCGTAGGGGTGCCAGCACCAGGATTCGAACCCGTGACTGATTGAAGTTTATTTTGAAGTCTTGGTACCGCAGCGCACTATCACTTTGACCACTGCGCCCCCCAATATATATATGACTGTGTCTAATTTGAAGATGTGTAAAAATTGAACTTAACGGTGGTACTCAATTCAGATTTAACATCCTATTGTCACTTAAATCTTTAAAAAGCTATGGAAAGTCTTTGTATTGGATTAATACATTGAGGACAATGCACTTCAGCTATTTGAAGTAATTCGCAAATAACAGGGTTTTCTAAAAATGATACTTGGTAAATGGAAGTGTTAATATCTATAGTTTAATAACATTATTTAAAACTATTAAGTTAATTGTAGTTAATTTGGATGGCTTTCCAAAAAAATGTTGCTGATGGCAATGTTTATTATAACATTTGAATAATTCAAGAGCTGAGATAAAAAATTTTAATTTTTTTTACTTCAGGTATTGTTGTGATGGTGGATGCCAAGTTTTGTAAGCAGGTAATCTTGATGGTCTGTTGCAAATCATTTAGGAATAATAATTCATTCAATATAAAAAGGAATAATAATTCATTCAATATAAAAAGGAATAATAATTCATTCAATATAAAAAGGAATAATAATTCATTCAATATGAATAGGAATAATAATTCATTCAATATAAAAAGGAATAATAATTCATTCAATATGAATAGGAATAATAATTCATTCAATATAAAAAGGAATAATAATTCATTCAATTTTTTATATATTTTTTTTACATAATTTCAATCTTGATGAATATAAGTTTGATTCCTATAGTGATATTACGGATGATGTTGTTGAAGGGATTATTTGCAATTGAAATTAGAAAGTTGCCTTATCTTGTGTACGTCTTTCTTTCATTTTTTTTCTTTTTTTTTGTTTCTTTTTTTTTTTGTTGCTTAATGCTTAGCCTAGGCTTTATTGTTACACCAGCATCTGAAAGAAAGGAAAGCAATAATGATTTAATCAGCACAGGCGTTTCTTGATTCATAAGCATTGTAATTCCGAACAAACATTGTCTAAGCATTTTTCTTGAACCTTATTTTACATTCTTTCCATATCAGAACAATGAGCTGTACAAAATCAATATTTAAGACCATGGTTTTCCAGCGTAAAATGACAGCTAGCATATAGGATAGCATCATACACGTGAAACAGTGCACACATATTGATGTGTAACAAACAAGAATGTATAACAAACAACCTCTAGGAAATGGAACCAGTTTGTAAATCAAGAACTGCCTATACAATCAATTTGTGTTATGGCAGTAATTGAATGAAGATCTTTATTTTTGTGAAGGATAATATATGATGGACTGTGATCAAGTCGTGTGAAGGAAATAGTGGAGCAAGATATTCAACTAATTAATCTGTCTTTTCATGCCAAGTCTAAACTTACTTTGTTCCACTAATTTTTGGTAATGAAGTTGAATTAATCACATCCTGTTATGATGTTTCAGCATTTGCAAGAAGAGAAACCAGATGGATCAGTGAATGATTCCCAGAGGTATGATTGCTTAGACTGACACATTTGAAATTAAATTGGTATTACAGTCTAAGATGACAGACTGGGCTACATCAAATTCTCTAAATAATACATTGTGTTTTTTTCTTAATATTGAAATGAAGAGTTTCAGGTTGGTGGCCAAATTTTGAAATATGGTCCTTTGTAGTTAACTTTAAAGATTTAGCTTTTACGTATTATGTTAACATTTTTGTTTTGAAATTTTACATATTTAAAAAATCAGTTAAATATAATATCATTGATTGTTGAAAATTTGTTCTTGTTCATACTCGCAGGCAAATAGCTCTAGCAGATATAATTATTGTTAACAAAACTGATCTTGTTGACGTGGAGGATTTGAATGACTTAACACAAACAATAAGGTAATATCAGCTGCTTGTTCATCCAATGACCACAAAACATATGAGAAAACCCTGTAATACATTCCCCTTTTCTGTGCAGACTTTTATTGTAATTTCAAATTTATTTTTAACTTTTTCTTCACTTTTTACATGATTAATATTTCAGATCTATCAATGGATTTGCCAGATTGTTTGAGACTTCACAAGCCAGGTATTTACTTGACACTTATGTTCATAGTATGAAGTAACGTATGAGTCGTTACTCAGATTCCAAGTTTTCCAGTTACAGTGTAGACAAATAACCCATGCCACAAAATACAGTTTAACACCTGAAAGTTCTGAGACTGCACTGGCTTTGGCCATACTGTTCAAACAATACAATTTTGAACTTTAAAGTCACTCATTTTCAAAGCTCTTGGTGTAGTGCTCTTAGTCCATATGCACATGTTGCACTAAACTTTTGTCTACTCTGTCCTTGGTGAAAAATTAAAAAAAAGGGGATACTTGCATCAAGTTATTTCTAAACCCATGAATGTCGCAAAATGCTCCTTTCCTTAAGTTAATCAGTGGCATTTTTTAAGGCTGGTTGAGTGTAAGCTTAAGACGACAAATTTTCAAATCAGTCACTCAGTCACCAGCACCAAAGCATTTTAAGACCTTGATGACCTCATACATGGAGCACCTTCAACCAACAATTTGACCTTAAGCTTCAGTCTAGAAAAGAGATCCTCATTGGGAACAACCTAGAATTGATCTAGGATTATTACTTGGTTGATTGAAAGTTGGGTTCTCAATAATGATCTCCTACCGTACACATATGATGTACCCGAGATCTGTGACTTTTGCTTTAGGCACAATTTTGGAGTCTATAAAAGAGATCCTCATTGAGACCAACCCAGAATTGATCTAGGATCATTGCTTGGTCTGGGGTGAAACCTGAGTTTGCAATGATGATCCACTAACAATCTGATTGCTTTTAAAGCTTTGCTACTTTAACACCTTCACTGAAATCCAAACAGAATTGCAAAGGAGTATTGAATATCATCAAAGAAAATGAATTACATGGCTCAAGGATTGCTGTAAATTTTTACTAATTGAACTATTTTCAAGAACATAGCAGTAAAATTTGAATAAAATAAGCATGTAGTTGTTTATAACATTTTTTCTCAAAACTATCAAATGAATTTTTTTTTTTTTTTTTTTCCAGGATAATGAAAAAGTCTTTTTTTCTTGTTCAGAAGTAGTGGAGTCTATATAAAAAGAGTTTTGGACAGTAGATCTATAGAATTTCTTTGGCACTTGATTGGGTAATTTGAATAAAATAAGCATGTAGTTGTTTATAACATTTTTTCTCAAAACTATCAAATGAATTTTTTTTTTTTTTTTTATCCAGGATAATGAAAAAGTCTTTTTTTCTTGTTCAGAAGTAGTGGAGTCTATATAAAAAGAGTCTTGGACAGTAGATCTATAGAATATCTGTGGCACTTGATTGGGATATGGTTGTGTTAATTTTTTATTGTTTTTTAACAACATTACTATAGACATGTTGTTTTCTTTAATTTCTTTGTTCTAGGATGGCTTTAGAGAATATTCTCAACATAAATGCATATGGGCTGTCAGGTGATGTGAAGTAAGTATTTCATGAATAACACTGGCATGATCAATGAAATCCAGTTGTTTTTTTGTTCAGGACTATCGGGAGCAAGAACACATTTTTCTACCAAAATTCAACTCCCCAGCTTAGTTTTGTTTCATTTTTCTCTAAATTTATGACGTTTTTAACAAGTTTTTACATCATTTGAGTTATGTGCAAGGGAGAGCATCATTTACTGATAGCTAATTCAAAGTTTTTGTTCATTATGTTGCATTTTTTTTTTTAAATGTTGAGTAACTCAAGCCAACATGCCTGTGTCTGTATAACATTTGATTATATTTCTTTTCGATGTAACAAAATGCATGGTTTTTTATTTGTTTTTTTACCATCTGCAACTGTTCACCCTGTTGTTGTTAATGCAGGGATTACGGTTAGCTAAGTCAAAAATAACAGTCACTGCCACGTCAAGACATTATCAAAGTAGTCAAATAAATTACAGAGTCATTTGATAATTAAATTGGCACTTTAATACGACTTATACACATGATAAATAAATAACTTTCACCTATAGTACAGGATATCCTTAAATATATATATGGTATATTCACCTCTGTATGAAATAAATATCTTTCTACCATCCTCACAATTATTACACACTCTACTATGGCACAGAATCATAAAACGACCTCTTCGAACATGGCGCTGCCTAAACTTGTCCGTTATATATCTACAATAATGTGTTGCAATCGATTTCACCAAACATTAAATTAGCACACGCAAAGTTTAAACTGATTGCTATTTTTAATCTTATGTATTAAATTAATCAAAGCTTACAAAAAAATAATTTTTTTTGTGTTTAGGCTGGAAGATATTTTCACACTAAGAGGGTTTTCTCCACAAGATAAGCACAGCATTGACAAGGTAATACTGTGTTTTTATTGTTAATGACATCTCCATTACAAGTACACATTATCTTTATTCAATTTACGCTTTACTTCTATTTCTTAGATTTTATCTATTTTTATATTATAGATCAAACCAGTGTTAATATGACAAAGAACATAACCTGTTTTTATAAATAATAAATGCAAAGTAATGTTGCAGATATTCTTTATAATTCTATTTCAATGATGTGTTGAAACATTTTTAAAAAATGCATGCTCTGTCAAATAGTTAAAATAAAGTAAAGTATATTAGCTAATTAAAACCAGTCTAATATAGCTTGAAAGAGTTAATAGTCATTGTTTAAACACGTGGACCCAGCCAAGGCCTCGGGACCAGACAAATTAAGTGGTCGGCTCATTAAACTGTGCTCAGAGCAGCTCTCCTACATTTTTTGTTACACATTTAATAAATCTTATGTAACTCACACCATACCAACAATTTGGAAAACTTCAGAAATCATACCAATTCCAAAGAAAAATGAGGTAACTTGCAACAATGACTTACGACCCCTTGCACTTACCCTCCATTGTAGTGAAATGTTTTGAGTAAATCATTCTGAAAAATTTTGAATGAAGTACAGCAAAAACTTGACCTCCTCCAATTTGCTTACAAACCTGCCAGAAGTATGGAGGATGCAATCTTACTGTCGTCGGAGAGACTTTACCATTATATACCAATGATATTCAAAGCTCAATTGATACCGTTCCAATCTTAAAATTTGCTGATGATACCACCATCGTTGGCTTAATATCTGAAGGAGAAGGTCTATATGGCAACTAAGTTACAAGCTTTATCAATTGGTGGGATGAAAATTTTCTCCAGCTGAATGTCTCAAAAACAAAGGAAATGGTTGTTGATTTCAGGAGGGGAATCACCAGATTACAGATCTCAACATAAAAAATCAAAGTGTAGAGAAAGTGGTGGCATACAAGTACTTAGGTGTCACCATTAATAATAAGCTAACATGGCATGAGCACAGCTAAATGATGTATAAGAAATTCAACCAAAGACTGTTCTACCTCAAAAAACTGCACAATTTTGGCATACACAAACAAGTCGTTAACTTATTCTACAGTGCAACTGTTGGAAGCCTACTTAATTTCAGTATTACCTGCTGGTGTGGGAATTCAACGTCTGATATTAAATGCTGCATAAACGGACTCATCAAGAAAGCTAGGAACTTAACACAACCTAAACATCCTTTACTTGAAGAACTATTTGAAGAAAGATGTTTTTGTAAAACTAATCACATTTTGGATGATACATCCCACCCTCTTCATCACGGATACTTAGGATCAGGCCATTCGAGATTAATTCTTTCCATCAGGGCGAGGCTTGAAAGAGATAAAAATACTTTTGTTCCACAATCTGGAATTCACCAGCATGCTCCCCCGGAAGTCACACATCTTAATGAGAACTAATAAGTCCCCGATTTGGCTCACTGAATGGCTATTTGAAATAATTTATTATAAATGTCTTGTGTTCACATCGTTTTATTTATGTGCTGAAAATGTATAATGCAATCATAAAACATTTCTGATTGTTTGGATCAAAAAAATAATCTTATCTTATCTTAAATTGTTTTGAAGACAAATATTATAAAGAAGAATAAACGTTCTATTTCCCTAAAGTTATAAATTTTTTGCCTAAAAGTAAAATCTTTTGATTTTTTCCCCTTTTTCCTTTGTTCATTATGTATCATTGTTAAATGATAAAAAAATATGGAAGCAAAAAAAAAAAAGAACAACAGTTTTTTAAAATAGTTTTTAAAAGAAAATTGTTAAGAAATAATGTGATCACATTTTATATTGTACAGGGTGTTCATACAATGACAATACAGATACATGGAAACATTAAAAAGTCAGACTTAGAAAACTTTCTTCAGGCCTTACTGTGGGAGAAGTCTGTGAAAAATTATGAAGGCCATACACTTGATGTGCTCAGATTAAAGGTAAATCTTTGCTCATGGACTATTGTTATTAAAGAAGAAGAATTAGCACAAGAATTAGAACTTTTAAAGTACGTTATGTTTCATAATTTTCTGTCTCATTCCCCAACAGGGTGGCATCTCTTTGAAGGACGGCTATGTGATAATTTCTTATTCCCCAACAGGTTGTGATCTCTTTGTAAGAATTTGATATGCAGTGGTGTAGTTAGGCCTAGGGCTGCCTGGGTTAGGAGAAAATTTTTACCACCCCCTTCCATGAAAAAACTCTGCAGTTGGCGGACAATGCCAGCCTTTCCATAAAAAGATTAATGTTGCCACCGGGGGGCTGACCCCTTCCCCACTTCGCACCCAACTTCCCACACCAACAGTGGTATTGGATAATTTTTCATTCACCAACAGGGTGTAATCTCCTTAGAAGACTGTGACACACGGTTGGTTGTTCAGGCTGTGCATGAACTTTATGACTACCACTACACGACACCCTGGGAAAATAATGAAGCCCGTCACAACACTATAGTTTTCATTGGTAAGTACTGTAAGATATTGTAAGTTGTCTCTCTTAAAATGCGCCCCCCACCCCACTTTTTTCATCAAAAAACTATCAACTTCACTTCATATTTTAAATTCAAAATATTTGCCATAACTAATAATTTTGAAGTTGTACTTTTATGTAAAAAATTTTAAATATTTTTCCAAGCTTTGTAAATTCCAGTAATAAATTTGATGAGGTATTGGAATAGATTAATGGCAAAATGCAGCTTTCTTGTCTTGGGTCCATTTTGTTTTGAAATGAATTATGTCATATAAGATAAATCACTTTTTACAGTCATTTTTAAAGTTCTGTTTATTTGACTGAGAAAACGTCTTTATTTCTTAGTAAAGAGTTCATAATTTTTAAAAATAAATACCGGTAACATTTTTTAAAAAATGAACTGTTATTGTATTGTTTTAAATCTTTTAACTTTCATTCCTTTACAATTGTAGTTTTTCCAAGACTAATTTTTTAGCCATTTATCCATACTTTTCTTTTGCAGGACGAAATTTGGACAGAGAAAGTTTGGGGATTTCCATATCTCAATACCTACACCAAAAAGTGATATAGAGTTTTAATATGTTCCATCGCTTCAAGTGTTGCGTCAAACTTGGTCTTGTCACCTAAACCTACTGACCAAAACACAGGCTTGAACAACCCCTGCAGGATTTAAATATTACAGAGAAAATAAATAGGTCTAGCGCTACAGTGGATCAAGTGCTCTGCAGTGGATCAAGCGCTCTACAGTGGATCAAATACATCAGTGTTTTAAATTTTGGTTGGACTGAATAGAAATGGTGCTGTGTTCAAAGAGTTCTCAAACAAATCAATGGTCATTAAGGAAGGAATTCCTGGTCACAGGCTTTTTGCAGCAGGTCTAACTTAAAGATAACTTATATTTCTTCTTATTACATTCATTATTTGTATTGAAAAATGTTTTTTTTATTTTTTCAATTGCTTGTTTGTGATTGATAAAATAAATTGTCGCCACGACACAAAAGAAATGTTTCAGACGGTCCACATTTGAATCAAACCTTGTCGAGTTCATCAATAAAGTGGTTACCTTTAAACGACTTGGCCTCTTTAAACAAATTATTTTTAATATCCTTTTCATGTAGGTTAAAATAGAAAGAGACATTAGTGATTTGCGAACTTCTGCCGAGAATGTAAGTTGGTGCTAAAAAAAAATATTGTTTAAATGACTGTGCAGTGATGGCGCCGTGTTCGCCACCTGATCAACCACTTGTCCATTTGCTAGAGTTGTATGTCATAGCTAGTCAAACGGGTTGCAAATTCAGTCACTTGCTTTTCTATTGTTGGCACAGTAGATGGGCAAGTGTGGGTGATCTTTCAGCTGAATGGTCATTTGACACCCACAGATATTAAACATTAACAACAAGGCTAAAATAATAAATCTACATCGGCTTATGATATTGATGATAGCCACCTTGTTAATTTCGTATTATCTGGACGTGGTAACCGAATTCCCTCTTTAATTTAATCCTAATCATGTTACAACCCTTAATGGGTTTACGATCCTAATCGGGTCTGTCACCAATGTTTGTTTAAATAATTTTACTGAGATCTCTTTATTATGCAATGATTAATTTTATCCTAGCTGTCATCACTGGTTTTCCCAATGTCATCTTTTAATTATTTAATTAGGCATGAACAATTTGTGTTAATAAAACAATATATGTTCAGCTTTAATAATAATTTTACATAATACACAAGTAAACGTTTCGGTAAATGTCTCCATCAGTACAACAACAAAACATTTAATTAAGTATAGATTAACTTAATATACTGTATACATAATATATTATATACATGTATCCTACCTAAAAATATAGAAAAGAAATAATTATTTACAACTGATTTTATCTGTTCAGTTCAAACAAGTTTGTTTGGAAATGATTACAGATATAGAGAACAATATTATTTGTTCATTTTTAGTCCTTCACATGCGAAGTTGACCAAGGATAGTATAAGCGATGGTGAGTACGCAGATGACTTGTTAGTCCTTATTTGAGCCTGAAAAGTGAGTCTGCCTGTGCTTCAATGCTTCAACAGTGAGTCTGCCTCACCAGCTTATAGATCCGAAACAAGTGTTTCCCATGGATTCAGGTTGATGTCCTTGGATTTGATTGAAGCTTTTAGACAATCTTTACCTTTAGAGCGTTTTTTTTTCCTGCCCACCAGCTGAGCGTTTCCCTCTGGAAAATTCACTGAACAATAGTTGTTTAGGAAGACTGCTGTCTGGCTTTCTTTCAAAATGTCCTGCCAAATTTGGCTTGTCCATTTTGTAAGGACGTGTGGATGCCACTGTTTATGGTTGTAAGGCAATTCAAACCATTCTTAAAAGCCACATCTTTTGAAGCACTTTTCAATCGTTAAATCTTATTCTTACTTAACTCGATTGATGTCATTCAGTCAGTGATAAAGCTCATTTCAAAACACTCAACAATTTAAAAAAATAAAAATACAAATGTCTTTAAATTTTTTTTTTATTAGGCCTTAGAATAATGTCTAAAGACAGGTTAACCTTAAAAAAAATTTAGTTACAATAATCAAGGAATGAAACAATCCATTCTACTGCATAGTTGTATTAAACTTACTGCAGTAAAATATATTTCTAAAACGGGTGAAGCAGTGTTCCCCAAGCTTTCCTACACTCCAAATCCTACAAAGTATGTGACATTTTACTGTCACAACTAAATTAATAATGCATTAAAAAAAAAAATTTAATTAGACTTGTAATTTATCTATTGAAATTCTAAAATAACTAGAAAAAAAGAACAATAAACTTGTGAATTGTTCTTATAAAATAATTAAGTAAAATGTCAGTGAATAATTCTTTACAAATATACAAATAATTATTCCATAACATTAGACAGATGATTTCTACTGAATTCTTATAATCATCCCTGCTTCCTTACCCCCCCCCCCCCTGGAAATCCTGCACGAAAGTAACATTAAAACACGAAAAGCAGGTTCAAATGGCAATTTTGCAAAAGTAGTTAAACTTTCTTTTAGAAAAAAAAAATAAAGTGAAAACAAATTAGTGTTTGAAATTCAGTACTTATAAAAGTAAGATCGGTTATTACCATGTGCATTGATACCCGGAAGGAGATATTTCAACATTGGCATTCGTCGTGGTTGGAGCTGTCCGATCGTTTCATTATTCATGTTGCTCCTTGTTTCAGAGCAACCCGTTGAGTTTTGCTGAACTATTATTAAAATTATTGACACAAATTGATTTCTTTTTTTTTTCAAAAATAGATTACATTAAATACATTATTGATTTTTTTTTAATCCTTTTTATTTGGAAAAGCTCATTGCATGAAGTAGCTAATCTATATATATATTATATATATAATATATATAATAATAATAATAATAAAGTTTATTTCAAAAACACGCTTCATCCCCAAAGGCTCGAAGCGCGGTACAAAGTCAAAAAAATAAAAAATAAAATAATTTACCACATTTAAAACAAATGCAACACTACAAAAACTAATTACAAGTATACAATGTCAAAGTTTTTCTACCCATTTCAACCCTAAGCAACACAGCCATTATGCATTAACTGGAAAATATCGTAGAAAATCACCCCAGAAGGTGTTTGCGAAATAGATGTGTCTTTAAATCGGTTTTAAAGGACTCCAGTGTCTGGTTGTTTCTGAGATCGACAGGAAGGGCGTTCGAAATTGTTGGACCAGCAAATGCGAAAATGCGCTTTCCGTAAGTCCCAAGGCAAACACGTGGTGTCGAGAGTTTGCCACTATCGGATGAGCGGAGTTGTCTAGTGGGTACATAAGGCGTCAGCAGCTCTTTCAGATAGGACGGCGCCAGGCCATGTAAGCAGCGGTAGCACAAAGTTGCGATTTTGTACTCTATGCGAGCACGCACTGGCAGCCAGTGCAACTCTCTCAGAAGTGTTTTAGCATGGTCGAACTTGCGTTTGCGGAGAACAATGCGAGCCGCATTATTCTGTGCTATTTGAATTTTATCCAGGAGCGTAGCTGGAAGACCCACCATGAGAGCATTGCAATAGTCCATGCGTGATAGCACAAATGCAGACATCAGCCTCTTTGTTACATCGATTGTTAGGAAGGGCCTGGTGTGACTAATCTCTCTATATATATCCCCTCCCCCCCCAAAAAAAAACAAACAAAAAAAACAAAATAAATAATAATCTTTGCACGGCACAGAGTGCATGCTTTCGTTTCCCGAAGAAAGAAGTGCAGCCATAACAAAAAACAAAATATATCAAGCCCGACATGAGTCTGAAGCTAAATATTTTCTTTTCCGGTGCTGTGCATAATTTACCTCACCGCCGGTGCCACTAAAATTCGTCCCATCGTGGTATACGCCACTGTGGACATGGCCACGCAGCCAGTTATCATACCCCAACGAGAAAACATGAGCCCCGCTGCTGCCTGGGCACGTGCACGTCGTGTACAGGAGCTGAGTGTACTGCAATCCGCCCCTACCCTTCCGTAAAACTTGCCTGTCCTTCCAGTGCCCTATGCTGATCTGCTTGCTGCAGCCGTGGGGGTGCGAGATGATAAAACTTATTTTGCCAAAGTGTCCAGATCTGGTCAGTCTGTCGATGACCTTATTTCTCGGCACATCCCTGTGCTTCAAGATCGCGTCCAGTTTATCCAGTACTGGTAAGTCACATGTCGCACATATCATCTCGCAGGAGTCGTCCTCAATGTTGGCGGTTTCCACTCTCAACCCATCGAGATAAACATGTGGGCTGCACTCGCTGTCGTAGAACAGCCTGCACCTGGTGTGTCTCGCCTCGAGGTCGTCAAAAACAACGTGTGTGGCCGTGAGTACCCTCACCTCAGCCCACGCCTTGCTGGGGGTGTCCGAGCCTTGGCACTTGTGACATTTACAGCACCCCTTGCGTTTCTTCACACCCTCCACCCTTCCAGTACCCATCCTGAGACTCATCTTTTCACTTGGGACATGCAGAGGGTACGGCATACTCCTGTTTGGCCAAATCTCGGGTCTCTTTCCACTGATGATTGTAACTTGAAGCTGCAAAGTTAGGTCGGCTGTAGTTCTGATCAACTCATGCAGATCGGCGTCTTGGTGACCCTCAGGCAGGTGCCTCAAAGTAAAGTTGTCAACAGGTATAAAATGAATGTGGCCTGGATTCTTCTCGCAGTGCCTCAAACTTATGCGTAGATTTACCCCACCTCTATTGGATTCTTGGCATTCATGTTTACCTGTGATATCAAATCAATTCTGAATAATTTTTTTAAAAGAACCATATATAAAGTTATATACCTTAACACATTTTTTTTATAAATTTTTAAATGTTTAAAAATTAAATAATTAAGTATTGTAAGAAAATATTTTTAAAAAGTTGAAACAGGTACCATAAAATAGTCTAGCGACTTTTGTCTTGCCAGCTTCTTCTTCTTCTCCTTCATTAATTTCTCCATCACTTAATGGCTCTGCCCGTTTGGGGTGTTTCAGCTGTGCGTGCCGCTTAGCGGCCCGGCTTGTGTTACGATGGAATTGGCTTCGATGAAGATGGGCTGGGTGGGCAGCGGACAGTTTGACTCTACTTCCCGCCGTTTTCTACTTTTGGTGGCGTTTTTTTAGTAGTGCTGAAAAGTAATCCAATTATTACAATAGTTTTAATGTTATTATTCTCGTTGTAGAAATTTTTTAATTAATTTTTTTTTTGGGGGGGAAGGGGGGTGTTTAAAAAATCCATTTTCATTATACATTTTAAATTATTTATTTAATAGTTCTACATCTCTTGGGAAAGTTAAATAAATAAGATAACTACTCTCTAAGTATAATGTACATGAATCTTAATAACTTTCTCTATAATAGTAGAAGTATCACTTACCAATGACCAGTTCGAGTCTTTCTCAGAGTTCACAATTTGACCCTTAGCTGACCAATGCACAATGGGCATACGAACTTTTGAAGGCCTTAGAAAATAATAAGAATAGAAATCAATAATTTATAGCCTCGAATGTTTTTCTTTTAATTACCGTATATATATTTCTTCACGATTCCCAGCAGCCTCAATGGCGTCATCGGTGTAGGTGCAGATGCTATCTCCAGAATATATATATGTTTAATTAAAAATTAAATTTAAAAAAAAAATTATTTAGTACAAAATGCAGGATTTATTTGTCCAAAGT